TTTTTTCCACTCGGATTTTATGTTTTGTGTGTGAATTTGGGTCCAATGTGTAAATATAGTATGTCAAAATGATAAAATAACTGTAAATTGACACAGGTGAGGTTGTGCTGAAAAAAATGATACCAGGCAAGGCAAGGTAAAAATTTTGTAAGAGGAAATATAAAGGTAAAATCTAAAGTAGTCAAAAACGGCCAATAGTGACTCACAGACTCCACAGACAAGTCCCTTTGGCGCCACTCAGTGGGCAAAACTACTTTGTCTACTGTAATGTATATTTGGGTCATCTTTGGCGCCCCCTAAAACGTAAACCGTGGGGTGCAGCGTCATGATTTTTACAACTTTGAATGGCCATGGAGTGTAGATTGGCCTGAGCAAATTTGGTGTCAGTGGGACGAAAGCCTTAGGAGGAGTTAGCGAAATTCCAATGTGTGCGAATCGGCAAAAAATGCAAAATAGCCCTTTTACCGTACATTATACAGATACGCGCTCTTTGACTTTTTCGTAGATCTAATTGAGATACACATGATTGTCAATTTTTGTGTCATTTTGCCAAAGCGTACAGGCGTGACAGTCAACAATGTGTATTTTCACCTTAGGGGACAAGAAAAAATGGACTTTTTTCTCCTGCCATGGGGGGGCGCTCTTTTAGGGAGTAAAAATTCCTTCACAAATGTGTTGATGGCTGGACATTGCATCATCCTAGAAAACTTGGAGGCCAGTGAGGACAAAAATAAAAAGTTATAAGACTTTGAAATATGTGGATTTTAGGGTTATCTTTGGCGCCCCCTAGAACCTAAACCGTGGGGTGCAGCGTCATGATTTGAATAACTTTTAATGGCCATGGGGTGTAGATTGGCCTGAGCAAATGTGGTGCCGGTGGAACGAAAGCCTTCGGAGGAGTTAGCGAAATTCCAATGTGTGCGGATCGGCAAAAAATGCGAAATAACCCTTTAACCGTACATTTGACAGATACGCCCGCACTGACTTTTTTGTAGATCTTAATGAGATACATGTGTGTGTCAATTTTTGTGTCATTTTGACAAAGCGTACAGGCGTGACAGTCAATAGTGTGAATTTTCACCTTATGGGACAAGAAAAAATGGACTTTTTTCTCCTGCCATGGGGGGGCGCTCTTTTGGGGAGTGAAAATTCCTTCACAAATGTGTTGATGGCTGGACATTGCATCATCCTAGAAAACTTGGAGGCCAGTGAGGACAAAAATAAAAAGTTATAAGACTTTGAAATATGTGGATTTTAGGGTTATCTTTGGCGCCCCCTAGAACCTAAACCGTGGGGTGCAGCGTCATGATTTGAATAACTTTTAATGGCCATGGGGTGTAGATTGGCCTGAGCAAATGTGGTGCCGGTGGAACGAAAGCCTTCGGAGGAGTTAGCGAAATTCCAATGTGTGCGGATCGGCAAAAAATGCGCAATAACCCTTTAACCGTACATTTGACAGATACGCCCGCACTGACTTTTTTGTAGATCTTATTGAGATACATGTGTGTGTCAATTTTTGTGTCATTTTGACAAAGCGTACAGGCGTCAGGTGAATTTTTCACCTTAGGGGGCGCTATGGAGCCATTTTGCATTGTATTGTTTGGGCGACTTCAGAATATCAAATTTTTCACCAGGCCCGGTCGTCCTGCCAAATTTCATGAGTTTTCGCCAGTGGGAAGTGGGCCATTTTCCAGTTCAAAGGGGAGGAAAAAGAAACTAGGGCCCCGTTGGGGCACTGGCGGGCCCGAGCCGTGTCGCGCTGCCCCCCCAACGCGCTGCCTCCCCGTCCCATTCGCGTCCTCTGGCCATCGTCCTCTCTGGTAACGCCCATCACTGCAAAGACCCTTTCCTTCATCGGCGTTTGCTGTTCTTCCTGCCAGTGCGTGTTGCTTTCACTTACACTTGCCACAGCCAGCCTCGTGAGTGCCTAGCCTATTGGATATCACTGTCATCTACACAGGACAGTCATAACCTTTCTATTAATACTTTGTTTTTTAATTTCACATTAATTTCCATATTGTATAAATGACTGGAAAAAACTTGAGCCCCTGCCCCTGTATAATCATGTGCACGTCCCTGTTCTAGCTCCAAGGTGAATCTTCACTGCTCATGTTCTCCTCAGAAATAGTCACCTCACTCCCCTCAGGTTACTGTACACATGCACCAACTATCTGCTTCAGGTTTGGATGGAGCTTCATGGTTGTCTTTTGGAGAAATGAACAGTCAAGTTGTGTTTGAAATTTGATTTTTGTCAGGGGCAAAAGGAAGCCTCTGCATTCTTGTCAAATATGTAAACAGCATGTTTTTGCAGGTGCTAGAAACCAGACTCTGAGTGTGTGAGTGTGTGTGTGTGTGTGTGTGTGTGTGTGTGTGTTGGCGTGTGTGTATATGTGTGTGTATCCTGCAGTACTCTGTACTCCTGCAGTGGCCAAAAAGACTTTTAAGAATGTGGATTTTTGGGTCATCTTTGGCGCCCCCTAGAACTGCAGTACTCTGTACTCCTGCAGTGGCCAAAATGACTTTTAAGAATGTGGATTTCTGGGTCATCTTTGGCGCCCCCTAGAACGTAAACCGTGGGGTGCAGCATCATGATTTTTACAACTTTGAATGGGCATGGGGTGTAGATTGCCCTGAGCAAATTTGGTATCAGTGGGACGAAAGCCTTAGGAGGAGATAGCCACATTCCAATGTGTGCGAATCGGCAAAAAATGCGAAATAGCCCTTTAACCGTACATTATACAGATACGCGCTCTTTGACTTTTTCGTAGATCTAATTGAGATACACATGATTGTCAATTTTTGTGTCAATATGACAAAGCGTTCAGGCGTGACACTCAACAATGTGTATTTTCATGTAAGGGGACAAGAAAAAATTGACTTTTTTCTCCTGCCATGGGGGGGCGCTCTTTTGGGGAGTAAAAATTCCTTCACAAATGTGTTGATGGCTGGACATTGCATCATCCTAGAAAACTTGGAGGGCAGTGAGGACAAAAATAAAAAGTTATAAGACTTTTAAGAATGTGGATTTTTGGGTTATCTTTGGCGCCCCCTAGAACCTAAACCGTGGGGTGCAGCGTCATGATTTGTACAACTTTTAATGGCCATGGGGTGTAGACTGGCCTGAGCAAATGTGGTGCCGGTGGAACGAAAGCCTTCGGAGGAGTTAGCGAAATTCCAATGTGTGCGGATCAGCAAAAAATGCGAAATAACCCTTTAACCGTACATTTGACAGATACGCCCGCACTGACTTTTTTGTAGATCTTATTGAGATACATATGTGTGTCAATTTTTGTGTCAATATGACAAAACGTACAGACGTGACAGTCAATAGTGTGAATTTCCACCTTAGGGGGCGCTATGGAGCCATTTTGCATTTTATTGTTTGGGCGACTTCAAAATATCGAATTTTTCACCAGGCCCGGTCGTCCTGCCAAATTTCATGAGTTTTCGCCAGTGGGAAGTGGGCCATTTTCCAGTTTAAAGCGGAGGAAAAATAATAATAATAATAATAACAAAAGAAGAATCCATCAGGAACAAGAGGGCTCTCGCAGCTGCTTAGCAGCTACGCTCGGGCCCTAAAAACTAGGACCCCGTTGGGGCACTGGCGGGCCCGAGCTGTGTCGCGTCCCCCCCCCAACGCGCTGCCTCCCCGTCCCATTTGTGTCCTCTGGCCATCGCCCTCTCTGGTAACGCCCATCACTGCAAAGACCCTTTTCCTTCATCGGCGTTTGCTGTTCTTCCTGCCAGTGCGTGTTGCTTTCACTTACACTTGCCACAGCCAGCCTCGTGAGTGCCTAGCCTATTGGATATCACTGTCACCTACACAGGACAGTCATTACCTTTCTATTAATACTTTGTTTTTTAATTTCACATTAATTTCCATATTGTATAAACAACTGGAAAAAACTTGAGCCCCTGCCCCTGTATAATCATGTGCACGTCTCTGTTCTAGCTCTAAGGTGAATCTTCACTGCTCATGTTCTCCTCAGAAGCAGTCACCTCACTCCCCTCAGGTTACTGTACACATGCACCAACTACCTGCTTCAGGTTTGGATGGAGCTTCATGGTTGTCTTTTGGAGAAATGACCAGTCAAGTTGTGTTTGAAATTTGATTTTTTTTTCAGGGGCAAAAGGAGCCTCTGCATTCTTGTCAAATATGTAAATAGCATGTTTTTGCAGGTGCTAAAAACCAGACTCTGAGTGTGTGTGTGTGCGTGTGTGTGTCTGTCTGTGTGTGTGCGTTCAAGTCACATGACATATTTAACCGGATGTAGCTGCAAGACGGAGCCTCGTTGACTCTCCGTTTCAATTTATCTCAAAAGTGAGGACCTCAACCTATATACCAGTTTTTAAATTGTGTTGATAGGCCAAATAAAACCAGAGTTATGATAAATTATGTCCGCGATACTTGTTTTCTGCTTATTTTGATCACGTTCGGCGCTCGATCGCGCTGTATGAGACAGGAAGACATAGCATGCAGACATTAGCGACAGGTCTTACAGGCGGAAAAGACTTGCCAAAGGAAAAAAAAACACACCACAACATCTCTCCTATTGGTGGAAAACTTCACCACAACAACCAATCCAAAATTATATGGTGACTGATTGACAAGGGGCGGGAACTTACGTTCTTCCTGCAATATGAGAAGGGAGGGAGGGACTCTCAGCAGGGATGCAGTCTGGGACACGTAGTTGCAAACCTAGCGACTTTGTTGTTAGATTCAATGACTTTTCAGACCCCCTAACGACTTTTTTTTAGAAAGAAAGGGACTTTTATCGACTTCTTCTGGAGTTTAGAGACTCTGACATGAAGCAGGCTTTCCTTACTGAGGAGTTAGCAACACTGCTAAGGGTGCAGAGCCACACATGCGCTCCGAGCTCTGCATGGGAGACTGAAGCTGACAGAGCTGCAGCAGTTAGCAGGTTTCACCCTCAGAGACCACCAGGGGTTCATGTTGAGGCATTTTCAGTTTTGTTTTTTTTTTTTTTTGCCATAGACACTGTCAGCACAATCTGCAGTTACACTAACAAAAATGCTGCAAAAAACAAAGAATTATGGAAAAATTACACATGGACTAACATAGAGGAGGATCTACACAAGTTTTTTACATCATGTTTTACATCATGCATCATTTACATCATGTTTTTTTGTAGTGGCATAAATAAAAAGTGACATTTGTGAGACTATACAGTGTTTTGTAAATAATTTTACAAAGAACACCTGGGCCATTGCCTGCATTTTGATGTCAATAGAGGTAAATTACTATGTTCTTTGTTAAAAATTTGCATATGTTTTGAAGTTTACAATTTTTATTTGAAGTTTAAGTTTTAAAAACAGTTCATCACACATATTTGTGGTTTTCACAGTAAAAACGTTAATTTTTTCCACTCGGATTTTATGTTTTGTGTGTGAATTTGGGTCCAATGTGTAAATATAGTATGTCAAAATGATAAAATAACTGTAAATTGACACAGGTGAGGCTGTGCTGAAAAAAATGATACCAGGCAAGGCAAGGTAAAAATTTTAAGAGGAAATATAAAAGGTAAAATCTAAAGTAGTCAAAAACGGCCAATAGTGACTCACAGACTCCACAGACAAGTCCCTTTGGCGCCACTCAGTGGGCAAAACTACTTTGTCTACTGTAATGTATATTTGGGTCATCTTTGGCGCCCCCTAAAACGTAAACCGTGGGGTGCAGCGTCATGATTTTTACAACTTTGAATGGCCATGGAGTGTAGATTGGCCTGAGCAAATTTGGTGTCAGTGGGACGAAGGCCTTAGGAGGAGTTAGCGAAATTCCAATGTGTGCGAATTGGCAAGAAATGCAAAATAGCCCTTTTACCGTACATTATACAGATACGCGCTCTTTGACTTTTTCGTAGATCTAATTGAGATACACATGATTGTCAATTTTTGTGTCATTTTGCCAAAGCGTACAGGCGTGACAGTCAACAATGTGTATTTTCACCTTAGGAGACAAGAAAAAATGGACTTTTTTCTCCTGCCATGGGGGGGCGCTCTTTTAGGGAGTAAAAATTCCTTCACAAATGTGTTGATGGCTGGACATTGCATCATCCTAGAAAACTTTTGGCCAGTGAGGACAAAAATAAAAAGTTAAAAGACTTTTAAAAATGTGGATTTTTGGGTTATCTTTGGCGCCCCCTAGAACGTAAACCGTGGGGTGCAGCGTCATGATTTGAATAACTTTTAATGGCCATGGGGTGTAATTTGGCCTGAGCAAATGTGGTGCCGGTGGAACGAAAGCCTTCGGAGGAGTTAGCGAAATTCCAATATGTGCGAATCGGCAAAAAATGCGGAATAACCCTTTAACCGTACATTAGACAGATACGCGCGCATGGACTTTTTTGTAGATCTTATTGAGATACATGTGTGTGTCAATTTTTGTGTCATTTTGACAAAGCGTACAGGCGTGACACTCAACAATGTGTATTTTCACCTTAGGGGACAAGAAAAAATGGACTTTTTTCTCCTGCCATGGGGGGGCGCTCTTTTGGGGAGTAAAAATTCCTTCACAAATGTGTTGATGGCTGGACATTGCATCATCCTAGAAAACTTGGAGGCCAGTGAGGGCAAAAATAAAAAGTTATAAGACTTTTAAAAATGTGGATTTTAGGGTTATCTTTGGCGCCCCGTAGAACCTAAACCGTAGGGTGCAGCGTCATGATTTGAATAACTTTTAATGGCCATGGGGTGTAGATTGGCCTGAGCAAATGTGGTGCCGGTGGAACGAAAGCCTTCGGAGGAGTTAGCGAAATTCCAATGTGTGCGGATCGGCAAAAAATGCGCAATAACCCTTTAACCGTACATTTGACAGATACGCCCGCACTGACTTTTTTGTAGATCTTATTGAGATACATGTGCGTGTCAATTTTTGTGTAATTTTGAAAAAGCGTACAGGCGTGACAGTCAATAGTGTGAATTTTCACCTTAGGGGGCGCTATGGAGCCATTTTGCATTTTCTTGTTTGGGCGACTTCGGAATATCAAATTTTTCACCAGGCCCGGTCGTCCTGCCAAATTTCATGAGTTTTCGCCAGTGGGAAGTGGGCCATTTTCCAGTTCAAAGGGGAGGAAAAAGAAAAAAGAAACAAAGAAAAACCACTTGGGGAATAATAGGGCTCTCGCAGCTGCTTAGCAGCTACGCTCGGGCCCTAAGAAACAAAGAAAAACCACTTGGGGAATAATAGGGCTCTCGCAGCTGCTTAGCAGCTACGCTCGGGCCCTAATAACAAAAGAAGGAAACTACAGGAACAAGAGGGCTCTCGCAGCTGCTTAGCAGCTACGCTCGGGCCCTAATAATAACAAAAGAAGAATCCATCAGGAACAAGAGGGCTCTCGCAGCTGCTTAGCAGCTACGCTCGGGCCCTAAAAAGTCTGGACCATGAGTGAGGGCACAAACACAGCTATGATATATCGAAATGGCAGGTTGCTCCTCCTTACGGTGTTGCCTGGAGAGCGATGCGATTGAGCCATTGAGCGATGGGCAGGGTTAACTTGACTTTTTCTCCTGCCTTGGGGGGGGGGGGGGGATTTGGATTCTTTTAAGAATGTGGATTTTTGGGTCATCTTTGGCGCCCCCTAGAACGTAAACCGTGGGGTGCAGCGTCATGATTTTTACAACTTTGAATGGCCATGGGGTGTAGATTGGCCTGAGCAAATTTGGTGTCAGTGGGACGAAAGCCTTAGGAGGAGTTAGCCACATTCCAATGTGTGCGAATCGGCAAAAAATGCAAAATAGCTCTTTAACCGTACATTTGACAGATACGCGCGCATTGACTTTTTTGTAGATATTATTGAGATACATATGTGTGTCAATTTTTGTGTCAATATGATAAAGCGTACAGGCGTGACAGTCAATAGTGTGAATTTCCACCTTAGGGGACAAGAAAAAATTGACTTTTTTCTCCTGCCATGGGGGGGGCGCTCTTTTGGGGAGTAAAAATTCCTTCACAAATGTGTTGATGGCTGGACATTGCATCATCCTAGAAAACTTGGAGGCCAGTGAGGACAAAAATAAAAAGTTATAAGACTTTTAAATATGTGGATTTTAGGGTTATCTTTGGCGCCCCCTAGAACCTAAACCGTGGGGTGCAGCGTCATGATTTGTACAACTTTTAATGGCCATGGGGTGTAGATTGGCCTGAGCAAATGTGGTGCCGGTGGAACGAAAGCCTTAGGAGGAGTTAGCGAAATTCCAATGTGTGCGGATCGGCAAAAAATGCGGAATAACCCTTTCACCGTACATTTGACAGATACGCGCGCATTGACTTTTTCGTAGATCTTATTGAGATACATGTGTGTGTCAATTTTTGTGTCATTTTGCCAAAGCGTACAGGTGTTAAACTCAACAATGTGTATTTTCACCTTAGGGGACAAGAAAAAATGGACTTTTTTCTCCTGCCATGGGGGGGCGCTCTTTTGGGGAGTAAAAATTCCTTCACAAATGTGTTGATGGCTGGACATTGCATCATCCTAGAAAACTTGGAGGCCAGTGAGGGCAAAAATAAAAAGTTATAAGACTTTTAAATATGTGGATCTTAGGGTTATCTTTGGCGCCCCCTAGAACCTAAACCCTGGGGTGCAGCGTCATGATTTGAATAACTTTTAATGGCCATGGGGTGTAGATTGGCCTGAGCAAATGTGGTGCCGGTGGAATGAAAGCCTTCGGAGGAGTTAGCGAAATTCCAATGTGTGCGGATCGGCAAAAAATGCGAAATAACCCTTTAACCGTACATTTGACAGATACGCCCGCACTGACTTTTTTGTAGATCTTATTGAGATACATGTGTGTGTCAATTTTTGTGTCATTTTGACAAAGCGTACAGGCGTGACAGTCAATAGTGTGAATTTTCACCTTAGGGGGCGCTATGGAGCCATTTTGCATGTTCTTGTTTGGGCGACTTCGGAATATCAAATTTTTCACCAGGCCCGGTCGTCCTGCCAAATTTCATGAGTTTTCGCCAGTGGGAAGTGGGCCATTTTCCAGTTCAAAGGGGAGGAAAAATAATAACTAGGGCCCCGGTGGGGCACTGTCGGGCCCGAGCCGCGTCGCGCCGCCCCCAGCGCGACCACCTCCCCCTCCCGATCGCGTCACACTCAAGGTCCAAAGATGGTGTGCGCACTTGTCTGTGGTCATTTCCCATTATAATGAATGGGAGGCGCAGTTTCTACCAAAACACTCGCTGCAGACAAACTACATATCCTATTTGAAAAAAGTCTGGACCATGAGTGAGGGCACAAACACAGCTAGGATATATCCAAACGGCAAGTTGCTCCTCGTTACGGTGTTGCCGGGAGAGCGATGCGATTGAGCCATTGAGTGATGGGCAGGAAAAACTTGACTGTTTCTCCTGCCATGGGGGATGGGGGATGGGGGATGGGGGGGGGGGGAGATGTGGATTCTTTTAAGAATGTGGATATTTGGGTCATCTTTGGCGCCCCCTAGAACGTAAACCCTGGGGTGCACCGTCATGATTTTTACAACTTTTAATGGCCATGGGGTGTAGATTGGCCTGAGCAAATTTGGTGTCAGTGGGATGAAAGCCTTAGGAGGAGTTAGCCACATTCCAATGTGTGCGAATCGGCAAAAAATGCAAAATAGCCCTTTAACCGTACATTTGACAGATACGCGTGCATTGACTTTTTCGTAGATGTTATTGAGACACACGTGATTGTCAAATTTTGTGTCAATATGACAAAGCGTACAGGCGTGACACTCAACAATGTGTATTTTCACCTTAGGGGACAAGAAAAAATGGACTTTTTTCTCCTGCCATGGGGGGGCGCTCTTTTGGGGAGTAAAAATTCCTTCACAAATGTGTTGATGGCTGGACATTGCATCATCCTAGAGAACTTGGAGGCCAGTGAGGACAAAAATAAAAAGTTATAAGACTTTTAAATATGTGGATTTAGGGTTATATTTGGCGCCCCCTAGAACCTAAACCGTGGGGTGCAGCATCATGATTTGAATAACTTTCAATGGCCATGGGGTGTAGATTGGCCTGAGCAAATGTGGTGCCGGTGGAACGAAAGCCTTAGGAGGAGTTAGCGAAATTCCAATGTGTGCGCATCGGCAAAAAATGCGAAATAACCCTTTAACCGTACATTTGACAGATACGCGGCATTGACTTTTTCGTAGATCTTATTGAGATACATGTGTGTGTCAATTTTTGTGTCAATATGACAAAGCGTACAGGCCTGACAGTCAATAGTGTGAATTTTCACCTTAGGGGACAAGAAAAAATGGACTTTTTTCTTCTGCCATGGGGGGGCGCTCTTTTGGGGAGTAAAAATTCCTTCACAAATGTGTTGATGGCTGGACATTGCATCATCCTAGAAAACTTGGAGGCCAGTGAGGACAAAAATAAAAAGTTATAAGACTTTTAAATATGTGGATTTTAGTGTTATCTTTGGCGCCCCCTAGAACCTAAACCTTGGGGTGCAGCGTCATGATTTTGATAACTTTTAATGGCCACGGGGTGTAGATTGGCCTGAGCAAATGTGGTGCCGGTGGAACGAAAGCCTTAGGAGGAGTTAGCCACAATCCAATGTGTGCGGATCGGCAAAAAATGCGGAATAACCCTTTAACCGTACATTTGACAGATACGCGCGCATTGACTTTTTCGTAGATCTTATTGAGTTACATGTGTGTGTCAATTTTTGTGTCATTTTGACAAAGCGTATAGGCGTGACACTCAACAATGTGTATTTTCACCTTAGGGGACAAGAAAAAATGGACTTTTTTCTTCTGCCATGGGGGGGCGCTCTTTTGGGGAGTAAAAATTCCTTCACAAATGTGTTGATGGCTGGACATTGCATCATCCTAGAAAACTTGGAGGCCAGTGAGGACAAAAATAAAAAGTTATAAGACTTTTAAATATGTGGATTTTAGTGTTATCTTTGGCGCCCCCTAGAACCTAAACCTTGGGGTGCAGCGTCATGATTTTGATAACTTTTAATGGCCACGGGGTGTAGATTGGCCTGAGCAAATGTGGTGCCGGTGGAACGAAAGCCTTCGGAGGAGTTAGCGAAATTCCAATGTGTGCGGATCGGCAAAAAATGCGAAATAACCCTTTAACCGTAATTTTGACAGATACGGCCGCACTGACTTTTTTGTAGATCTTATTAAGATACATATGTGTGTCAATTTTTGTGTCAATATGACAAAGCGTACAGGCGTGACAGTCAATAGTGTGAATTTCCACCTTAGGGGGCGCTATGGAGCCATTTTGCATTTTATTGTTTGGGCGACTTCAGAATATCGAATTTTTCACCAGGCCCGGTCGTCCTGCCAAATTTCATGAGTTTTCGCCAGTGGGAAGTGGGCCATTTTCCAGTTCAAAGGGGAGGAAAAAGAAGAAAGAAAGAAAGAACTAGGGCCCCGGTGGGGCACTGTCGGGCCCGAGCCGCGTCGTGCCGCCCCCAGCGTGACCGCCTCCCCCTCCCGATCGCGTCACACTCAAGGTCCAAAGATGGTGTGCGCACTTGTCTGTGGTCATTTCGCATTATAATGAATGGGAGGCGCAGTTTCTACCAAAACACTCGCTGCAGACAAACTTCATGTCCTATTTGAAAAAAGTCTGGACCATGAGTGAGGGCACAAACACAGCTGGGATATATCCAAATGGCAGGTTGCTCCTCGTTACGGTGTTGCCTGGAGAGCGATGCGATTGAGCCATTGAGCGATGGGCAGGAAAAACTTGACTTTTTCTCCTACCATGGGGGGGGAGAATGTGGATTCTTTTAAGAATGTGGATTTTTTGGTCATCTTTGGCGCCCCCTAGAACGTAAACCGTGGGGTGCAGCGTCATGATTTTTACAACTTTGAATGGCCATGGGGTGTAGATTGGCCTGAGCAAATTTGGTTTCAGTGGGACGAAAGCCTTAGGAGGAGTTAGCCACATTCCAATGTGTGCGAATCTGCAAAAAATGCAAAATAGCCCTCTAACCGTACATTTGACAGATACGCACCCATTGACTTTTTCGTAGATCTTATTGAGATACACGTGATTGTCAAATTTTGTGTCAATATGACAAAGCGTACAGGTGTCACACTCAACAATGTGAATTTTCACCTTACGGGACAAGAAAAAATTGACTTTTTTCTCCTGCCATGGGGGGGCGCTCTTTTGGGGAGTAAAAATTCCTTCACAAATGTGTTGATGGCTGGACATTGCATCATCCTAGAAAACTTGGAGGGCAGTGAGGACAAAAATAAAAAGTTATAAGACTTTGAAATATGTGGATTTTAGGGTTATCTTTGGCGCCCCCTAGAACCTAAACCGTGGGGTGCAGCGTCATGATTTGAATAACTTTTAATGGCCATGGGGTGTAGATTGGCCTGAGCAAATGTGGTGCCGGTGGAACGCCAGCCTTAGGAGGAGTTAGCGAAATTCCAATGTGTGCGGATCAGCAAAAAATGCGGAATAACCCTTTAACCGTACATTTGACAGATATGCGCGCATTGACTTTTTCGTAGATCTTATTGAGATACATGTGTGTGTCAAATTTTGTGTCAATATGACAAAGCGTAAAGGCGTGACACTCAACAATGTGTATTTTCACCTTAGGGGACAAGAAAAAATTGACTTTTTTCTCCGGCCATGGGGGGGCGCTCTTTTGGGGAGTAAAAATTCCTTCACAAATGTGTTGATGGCTGGACATTGCATCATCCTAGAAAACTTGGAGGCCAGTGAGGGCAAAAATAAAAAGTTATAAGACTTTTAAATATGTGGATTTTAGGGTTATCTTTGGCGCCCCCTAGAACCTAAACCGTGGGGTGCAGCGTCATGATTTGAATAACTTTTAATGGCCATGGGGTGTAGATTGGCCTGAGCAAATGTGGTGCCGGTGGAAAGAAAGCCTTCGGAGGAGTTAGCGAAATTCCAATGTGTGCGGATCGGCAAAAAATGCGGAATAACCCTTTAACCGTACATTTGACAGATACGCCCGCACTGACTTTTTTGTAGATCTTATTGAGATACATATGTGTGTCAATTTTTGTGTCATTTTGACAAAGCGTACAGGCGTGACAGTCAATAGTGTGAATTTTCACCTTAGGGGGCGCTATGGAGCCATTTTGCATTTTCTTGTTTGGGCGACTTCGGAATATCAAATTTTTCACCAGGCCCGGTCATCCTGCCAAATTTCATGAGTTTTCGCCAGTGGGAAGTGGGCCATTTTCCAGTTCAAAGGGGAGGAAAAAGAAGAAAGAAAGAAACAAAGAAAAACCACTTGGGGAATAATAGGGCTCTCGCAGCTGCTTAGCAGCTACGCTCGGGCCCTAACTAGGACCCCGTTGGGGCACTGGCGGGCCCGAGCCTTGTCGGATGGAGCTTTGGATGGAGCTTCATGGTTGTCTTTTGGAGAAATGACCAGTCAAGTTGTGTTTGAAATTTGATTTTTTTTTCAGGGGCAAAAGGAGCCTCTGCATTCTTGTCAAATATGTAAATAGCATGTTTTTGCAGGTGCTAAAAACCAGACTCTGAGTGTGTGTGTGTGTGTGTGTGTGTGTGTGTGTGTGTGTGTGTGTGTGTGTGTGTGTGTCTGTGTGTGCGTTCAAGTCACATGACATATTTAACCGGATGTAGCTGCAAGACGGAGCCTCGTTGACTCTCCGTTTCAACTTATCTCAAAAGTGAGGACCTCAACCTATATACCAGTTTTTAAATTGTGTTGATAGGCCAAATAAAACCAGAGTTATGATAAATTATGTCCGCGATACTTTTTTTCTGCTTATTTTGATCACGTTCGGCGCTCGATCGCGCTGTATGAGACAGGAAAACATAGCATGCAGACATTAGCGACAGGTCTTACAGGCGGAAAAGGCTTGCCAAAAAAAAAAAAAACACACCACAACATCTCTCCTATTGGTGGAAAACTTCACCACAACAACCAATCCAAAATTATATGGTGACTGATTGACAAGGGGAGGGCGCTTACGTTCTTCCTGCAATATGAGAAGGGAGGGAGGGACTCTCAGCAGGGATGCAGTCTGGGACACGTAGTTGCAAACCTAGCGACTTTGTTGTTAGATTCAATGACTTTTCAGACCCCCTAACGACTTTTTTTAGAAAGAAAGGGACTTTTATCGACTTCTTCTGGAGTTTAGAGACTCTGACATGAAGCAGGCTTTCCTTACTGAGGAGTTAGCAACGCTGCTAAGGGTGCAGAGCCACACATGCGCTCAGAGCTCTGCATGGGAGACTGAAGCTGACAGAGCTGCAGCAGTTAGCAGGTTTCACCCTCAGAGACCACCAGGGGTTCATGTTGAGGCATTTTAATTTTTTTTTTTTTTTGTGCCATAGACACTGTCAGCACAATCTGCAGTTACACTAACAAAAATGCTGCAAAAAACAAAGAATTATGGAAAAATTACACATGGACTGACATAGAGGAGGATCTACACAAGTTTTTTACATCATGTTTTACATCATGCATCATTTACATCATGTTTTTTTGTAGTGGCATAAATAAAAAGTGACATTTGTGAGACTATACAGTGTTTTGTAAATAATTTTGCAAAGAACGCCTGGGCCATTGCCTGCATTTTGATGTAAATAGAGGTAAATTACTATGTTCTTTGTTAAAAATTTGCATATGTTTTGAAGTTTACAATTTTTATTTGAAGTTTAAGTTTTAAAAACAGTTCATCACACATATTTGTGGTTTAATTTCACATTAATTTCCATATTGTATAAATGACTGGAAAAAACTTGAGCCCCTGCCCCTGTATAATCATGTGCACGTCCCTGTTCTAGCTCCAAGGTGAATCTTCACTGCTCATGTTCTCCTCAGAAATAGTCACCTCACTCCCCTCAGGTTACTGTACACATGCACCAACTATCTGCTTCAGGTTTGAAATGGAGCTTCATGGTTGTCTTTTGGAGAAATGAACAGTCAAGTTGTGTTTGAAATTTGATTTTTTTCAGGGGCAAAAGGAAGCCTCTGCATTCTTGTCAAATATGTAAACAGCATGTTTTTGCAGGTGCTAAAAAACAGACTCTGAGTGTGTGTGTGTGTCTGTGTGTGTGTGTGTCTGTGTGTGTGTGTATGTTGGTGTGTGTGTATATGTGTGTGTATCCTGCAGTACTCTGTACTCCTGCAGTGGCCAAAAAAACCTTTTAAGAATGTGGATTTTTGGGTCATCTTTGGCGCCCCCTAGAACTGCAGTACTCTGTACTCCTGCAGTGGCCAAAATGACTTTTAAGAATGTGGATTTTTGGGTCATCTTTGGCGCCCCCTAGAACGTAAACCGTGGGGTGCAGCGTCATGATTTTTACAACTTTGAATGGGCATGGGGTGTAGATTGCCCTGAGCAAATTTGGTATCGGTGGGACGAAAGCCTTAGGAGGAGATAGCCACATTCCAATGTGTGCGAATCGGCAAAAAATGCAAAATAGCCCTTTAACCGTACATTATAAAGATACGCGCTCTTTGACTTTTTCGTAGATCTAATTGAGATACACATGATTGTCAATTTTTGTGTCAATATGACAAAGCGTTCAGGCGTGACACTCAACAATGTGTATTTTCATGTAAGGGGACAAGAAAAAATGGACTTTTTTCTCCTACCATGGGGGGCGCTCTTTTGGGGAGTAAAAATTCCTTCACAAATGTGTTGATGGCTGGACATTGCATCATCCTAGAGAACTTGGAGGCCAGTGAGGACAAAAATAAAAAGTTATAAAACATTTAAGAATGTGGATTTTTGGGTTATTTTTGGCGCCCCCTAGAACCTAAACCATGGGGTGCAGCATCATGATTTGAATAACTTTTAATGGCCATGGGGTGTAGATTGGCCTGAGCAAATGTGGTGCCGGTGGAACGAAAGCCTTCGGAGGAGTTAGCGAAATTCCAATGTGTGCGTATCGGCAAAAAATGCGGAATAACCCTTTAACTGTACATTTGACAGATACGCGCGCATGGACTTTTTTGTAGATCTTATTGAGTTACATGTGTGTGTTAATTTTTGTGTCATTTTGACAAAGCGTATAGGCGTGACACTCAAGAATGTGTATTTTCACCTTAGGGGACAAGAAAAAATGGACTTTTTTCTCCTGCCATGGGGGGGCGCTCTTTTGGGGAGTAAAAATTCCTTCACAAATGTGTTGATGGCTGGACATTGCATCATCCTAGAAAACTTGGAGGCCAGTGAGGACAAAAATAAAAAGTTATAAGACTTTTAAATATGTGGATTTTAGTGTTATCTTTGGCGCCCCCTAGAACCTAAACCTTGGGGTGCAGCGTCATGATTTTGATAACTTTTAATGGCCACGGGGTGTAGATTGGCCTGAGCAAATGTGGTGCCGGTGGAACGAAAGCCTTCGGAGGAGTTAGCGAAATTCCAATGTGTGCGGATCGGCAAAAAATGCGAAATAACCCTTTGACCGTACATTTGACAGATACGGCCGCACTAACTTTTTTGTAGATCTTATTGAGATACATATGTGTGTCAATTTTTGTGTCAATATGACAAAGCGTACAGGCGTGACAGTCAATAGTGTGAATTTCCACCTTAGGGGGCGCTATGGAGCCATTTTGCATTTTATTGTTTGGGCGACTTCAGAATATCGAATTTTTCACCAGGCCCGGTCGTCCTGCCAAATTTCATGAGTTTTCGCCAGTGGGAAGTGGGCCATTTTCCAGTTCAAAGGGGAGGAAAAAGAAGAAAGAAAGAAAGAAAGAAAGAAAGAAAGAAACAAAGAAAAACCACTTGGGGAATAATAGGGCCTACGCCCGGCTGCTCTGCAGCTGGCTCGGGCCCTAAAGAAAGAAAGAAACAAAGAAAAACCACTTGGGGAATAATAGGGCCTACGCCCGGCTGCTCTGCAGCTGGCTCGGGCCCTAATAACTAGGACCCCGTTGGGGCACTGGCGGGCCCGAGCTGTGTCGCGTCCCCCCCCCCCAACGCGCTGCCTCCCCGTCCCATTTGTGTCCTCTGGCCATCGCCCTCTCTGGTAACGCCCATCACTGCAAAGACCCTTTTCCTTCATCGGCGTTTGCTGTTCTTCCTGCCAGTGCGTGTTGCTTTCACTTACACTTGCCACAGCCAGCCTCGTGAGTGCCTAGCCTATTGGATATCACTGTCACCTACACAGGACAGTCATTACCTTTCTATTAATACTTTGTTTTTTAATTTCACATTAATTTCCATATTGTATAAACAACTGGAAAAAACTTGAGCCCCTGCCCCTGTATAATCATGTGCACGTCTCTGTTCTAGCTCTAAGGTGAATCTTCACTGCTCATGTTCTCCTCAGAAGCAGTCACCTCACTCCCCTCAGGTTACTGTACACATGCACCAACTGCCTGCTTCAGGTTTGGATGGAGCTTCATGGTTGTCTTTTGGAGAAAAGACCAGTCAAGTTGTGTTTGAAATATGATTTTTTTCAGGGGCAAAAGGAGCCTCTGCATTCTTGTCAAATATGTAAATAGCATGTTTTTGCAGGTGCTAAAAACCAGACTCTGAGTGTGTGTGTGTGTGTGTGTGTCTGTGTGTGTGTGTGTGTGTGTGTGTGTGCGTGCGTGCGTGTGTATGTGTGCGTTCAAGTCACATGACATATTTAACCGGATGTAGCTGCAAGACGGAGCCTCGTTGACTCTCCGTTTCAATTTATCTCAAAAGTGAGGACCTCAACCTATATACCAGTTTTTAAATTGTGTTGATAGGCCAAATAAAACCAGAGTTATGATAAATTATGTCCACGATACTTGTTTTCTGCTTATTTTGATCACGTTCGGCGCTCGATCGCGCTGTATGAGACAGGAAAACATAGCATGCAGACATTAGCGACAGGTCTTACAGGCGGAAAAGGCTTGCCAAAGGAAAAAAAAAACACACCACAACATCTCTCCTATTGGTGGAAAACTTCACCACAACAACCAATCCAATGATAAAATAACTGTAAATTCGCACAGGTGAGGTTGTGCTGAAAAAAATGATACCAGGCAAGGCACGTGATTGTCAAATTTTGTGTCAATATGACAAAGCGTATAGGCGTGAATCTCAACAATATGTATTTTCACCTTAGGGGACAAGAAAAAATGGACTTTTTTCTCCTGCCATGGGGGGGCGCTCTTTTGGGGAGTAAAAATTCCTTCACAAATGTGTTGATGGCTGGACATTGCATCATCCTAGAAAACTTGGAGGCCAGTGAGGACAAAAATAAAAAGTTATAAGACTTTTAAATATGGTGGATTTTAGGGTTATCTTTGGCGCCCCCTAGAACCTAAACCGTGGGGTGCAGCGTCATGATTTGAATAACTTTTAATGGCCATGGGGTGTAGATTGGCCTGAGCAAATGTGGTGCCGGTGGAACGAAAGCCTTAGGAGGAGTTAGCCACATTCCAATGTGTGCGGATCGGCAAAAAATGCGGAATAACCCTTTAACCGTACATTTGACAGATACGCGCGCATTGACTTTTTCGTAGATCTTATTGAGTTACATGTGTGTGTCAATTTTTGTGTCATTTTGACAAAGCGTATAGGCGTGACACTCAACAATGTGTATTTTCACCTTAGGGGACAAGAAAAAATGGACTTTTTTCTTCTGCCATGGGGGGGGCGCTCTTTTGGGGAGTAAAAATTCCTTCACAAATGTGTTGATGGCTGGACATTGCATCATCCTAGAAAACTTGGAGGCCAGTGAGGACAAAAATAAAAAGTTATAAGACTTTTAAATATGTGGATTTTAGTGTTATCTTTGGCGCCCCCTAGAACCTAAACCTTGGGGTGCAGCGTCATGATTTTGATAACTTTTAATGGCCACGGGGTGTAGATTGGCCTGAGCAAATGTGGTGCCGGTGGAACGAAAGCCTTCGGAGGAGTTAGCGAAATTCCAATGTGTGCGGATCGGCAAAAAATGCGAAATAACCCTTTAACCGTAATTTTGACAGATACAGCCGCACTGACTTTTTTGTAGATCTTATTAAGATACATATGTGTGTCAATTTTTGTGTCAATATGACAAAGCGTACAGGCGTGACAGTCAATAGTGTGAATTTCCACCTTAGGGGGCGCTATGGAGCCATTTTGCATTTTATTGTTTGGGCGACTTCAGAATATCGAATTTTTCACCAGGCCCGGTCGTCCTGCCAAATTTCATGAGTTTTTGCCAGTGGGAAGTGGGCCATTTTCCAGTTCAAAGGGGAGGAAAAAGAAAAAAGAAAGAAAGAAACAAAGAAAAACCACTTGGGGAATAATAGGGCTCTCGCAGCTGCTTAGCAGCTACGCTCGGGCCCTAATAACAAAAGAAGGAAACATGCAGGAACAAGAGGGCTCTCGCAGCTGCTTAGCAGCTACGCTCGGGCCCTAACTAGGACCCCGTTGGGGCACTGGCGGGCCCGAGCCGTGTCGTCCCCCCCCCCCCCCCCCCCCCCAACGTGCTGCCTCCCCGTCCCATTTGTGTCCTCTGGCCATCGCCCTCTCTGTTAACGCCCATCACTGCAAAGACCCTTTTCCTTCATCGGCGTTTGCTGTTCTTCCTGCCAGTGCGTGTTGCTTTCACTTACACTTGCCACAGCCAGCCTCGTGAGTGCCTAGCCTATTGGATATCACTGTCACCTACACAGGACAGTCATTACCTTTCTATTAATACTTTGTGTTTTAATTTCACATTAATTTCCATATTGTATAAACGACTGGAAAAAACTTGAGCCCCTGCCCCTGTATAATCATGTGCATGTCTCTGTTCTAGCTCCAAGGTGAATCTTCACTGCTCATGTTCTCCTCAGAAGCACTCACCTCACTCCCCTCAGGTTACTGTACACATGCACCAACTGCCTGCTTCAGGTTTGGATGGAGCTTCATGGTTGTCTTTTGGAGAAATGACCAGTCAAGTTGTGTTTGAAATTTGATTTTTTTCAGGGGCAAAAGGAGCCTCTGCATTCTTGTCAAATATGTAAATAGCATGTTTTTGCAGGTGCTAAAAACCAGACTCTGAGTGTGTGTGTGTGTGTGTGTGTGTGTGTGTGTGTGTGTGTGTGTGTGCGTGTGTGTGTGTCTATGTGTGCGTTCAAGTCACATGACATATTTAACCGGATGTAGCTGCAAGACGGAGCCTCGTTGACTCTCCGTTTCAACTTATCTCAAAAGTGAGGACCTCAACCTATATACCAGTTTTTAAATTGTGTTGATAGGCCAAATAAAACCAGAGTTATGATAAATTATGTCCGCGATACTTTTTTTCTGCTTATTTTGATCACGTTCGGCGCTCGATCGCGCTGTATGAGACAGGAAAACATAGCATGCAGACATTAGCGACAGGTCTTACAGGCGGAAAAGGCTTGCCAAAAGAAAAAAAAAACACACCACAACATCTCTCCTATTGGTGGAAAACTTCACCACAACAACCAATCCAAAATTATATGGTGACTGATTGACAAGGGGCGGGTGCTTACGTTCTTCCTGCAACATGAGAAGGGAGGGAGGGACTCTCAGCAGGGATGCAGTCTGGGACACGTAGTTGCAAACCTAGCGACTTTGTTGTTAGATTCAATGACTTTTCAGACCCCCTAACGACTTTTTTTTAGAAAGAAAGGGACTTTTATCGACTTCTTCTGGAGTTTAGAGACTCTGACATGAAGCAGGCTTTCCTTACTGAGGAGTTAGCAACGCTGCTAAGGGTGCAGAGCCACACATGCGCTCAGAGCTCTGCATGGGAGACTGAAGCTGACAGAGCTGCAGCAGTTAGCAGGTTTCACCCTCAGAGACCACCAGGGGTTCATGTTGAGGCATTTTAATTTTTTTTTTTTTTGTGCCATAGACACTGTCAGCACAATCTGCAGTTACACTAACAAAAATGCTGCAAAAAACAAAGAATTATGGAAAAATTACACATGGACTGACATAGAGGAGGATCTACACAAGTTTTTTACATCATGTTTTACATCATGCATCATTTACATCATGTTTTTTTGTAGTGGCATAAATAAAAAGTGACATTTGTGAGACTATACAGTGTTTTGTAAATAATTTTACAAAGAACGCCTGGGCCATTGCCTGCATTTTGATGTAAATAGAGGTAAATTACTATGTTCTTTGTTAAAAATTTGCATATGTTTTGAAGTTTACAATTTTTATTTGAAGTTTAAGTTTTAAAAACAGTTCATCACACATATTTGTGGTTTAATTTCACATTAATTTCCATATTGTATAAATGACTGGAAAAAACTTGAGCCCCTGCCCCTGTATAATCATGTGCACGTCCCTGTTCTAGCTCCAAGGTGAATCTTCACTGCTCATGTTCTCCTCAGAAATAGTCACCTCACTCCCCTCAGGTTACTGTACACATGCACCAACTATCTGCTTCAGGTTTGAAATGGAGCTTCATGGTTGTCTTTTGGAGAAATGAACAGTCAAGTTGTGTTTAAAATTTGATTTTTTTCAGGGGCAAAAGGAAGCCTCTGCATTCTTGTCAAATATGTAAACAGCATGTTTTTGCAGGTGCTAAAAAACAGACTCTGAGTGTGTGTGTGTGTGTGTGTGTGTGTGTGTGTGTGTGTGTGTGTGTGTGTGTGTGTGTATGTTGGCGTGTGTGTATATGTGTGTGTATCCTGCAGTACTCTGTACTCCTGCAGTGGCCAAAAAGACTTTTAAGAATGTGGATTTTTGGGTCATCTTTGGCGCCCCCTAGAACTGCAGTACTCTGTACTCCTGCAGTGGCCAAAATGACTTTTAAGAATGTGGATTTTTGGGTCATCTTTGGCGCCCCCTAGAACGTAAACCGTGGGGTGCAGCGTCATGATTTTTACAACTTTGAATGGGCATGGGGTGTAGATTGCCCTGAGCAAATTTGGTATCGGTGGGACGAAAGCCTTAGGAGGAGATAGCCACATTCCAATGTGTGCGAATCGGCAAAAAATGCAAAATAGCCCTTTAACCGTACATTATACAGATACGCGCTCTTTGACTTTTTCGTAGATCTAATTGAGATACACATGATTGTCAATTTTTGTGTCAATATGACAAAGCGTTCAGGCGTGACACTCAACAATGTGTATTTTTATGTAAGGGGACAAGAAAAAATTGACTTTTTTCTCCTACCATGGGGGGGCGCTCTTTTGGGGAGTAAAAATTCCTTCACAAATGTGTTGATGGCTGGACATTGCATCATCCTAGAAAACTTGGAGGCCAGTGAGGACAAAAATAAAAAGTTATAAAACATTTAAGAATGTGGATTTTTGGGTTATTTTTGGCGCCCCCTAGAACCTAAACCATGGGGTGCAGCATCATGATTTGAATAACTTTTAATGGCCATGGGGTGTAGATTGGCCTGAGCAAATGTGGTGCCGGTGGAACGAAAGCCTTTGGAGGAGTTAGCGAAATTCCAATGTGTGCGTATCGGCAAAAAATGCGGAATAACCCTTTAACTGTACATTTGACAGATACGCGCGCATGGACTTTTTTGTAGATCTTATTGAGTTACATGTGTGTGTCAATTTTTGTGTCATTTTGACAAAGCGTATAGGCGTGACACTCAACAATGTGTATTTTCACCTTAGGGGACAAGAAAAAATGGACTTTTTTCTCCTGCCATGGGGGGCGCTCTTTTGGGGAGTAAAAATTCCTTCACAAATGTGTTGATGGCTGGACATTGCATCATCCTAGAAAACTTGGAGGCCAGTGAGGACAAAAATAAAAAGTTATAAGACTTTTAAATATGTGGATTTTAGTGTTATCTTTGGCGCCCCCTAGAACCTAAACCTTGGGGTGCAGCGTCATGATTTTGATAACTTTTAATGGCCACGGGGTGTAGATTGGCCTGAGCAAATGTGGTGCCGGTGGAACGAAGGCCTTCGGAGGAGTTAGCGAAATTCCAATGTGTGCGGATCGGCAAAAAATGCGAAATAACCCTTTAACCGTAATTTTGACAGATACGGCCGCACTGACTTTTTTGTAGATCTTATTGAGATACATATGTGTGTCAATTTTTGTGTCAATATGACA